GGATACATGCAGGAGTCTACGAGAGTCTTGTGACTTGATTAATTTAACTGATGATGTTTAAAGTAAGCAGGAACCACTCAAGTATGTGCTTTGCCTCTCCTACTTAAACCCATCAAATGGGCAATATTCACGTGATGACTGCAGCCTCTGTGTCCTCCCTCTGTACTTTCCTTTAGTACTTTAAAAAACGTTCTTAAGCACACATTGCAAAGGAGATGTACAATCTTTACATCACATGAGAAACTCTATCCTTAGACCCTCTATATATAATGTCCCAGACTTTGTTTTAAAGCCGATGCTACCTTGGCTTATCATGTTTCTTGAAGAAGGTATATTTGTGCTCTTAGTGTAGCTCGTCATGGACAGAGCGTTGTCGGGCAATAGACCCTTTGGCAGTCGCAGGTGGTGGACAGTGAATATCTGCCAGCCTCCCCCATATCACGCTCAGCCCCCCCTCTCCCCCACCTTGCCTCCCTGGTGGTCAGCCTCCTCCCACCCGTCCTCCATGCCATCCTCCCCTCGGGTCCCAGCATTCCCTGTGATGGTCCTGCTGCGTGTGACAAACATGTGATGAGTCTGTGTGACATGCCATGTGTGTATTTGTGATTTTGGGGTGTGTGTGAGTGTGCAGGCTGGTGTGTATGGATTTGTGCGTGACACAAGTGCAGGCCTTTCCTGTACCAGATTGACATGAGTGTCTGTGAGGCTTTGCTCTTTTCAGACGTGCCTCACACTGGCAGTTGTAGTTTATGTGTGTGTGTGTGTGTGTGTGTGTGTGTGTGTGTGTGTGTGTGTGTGTGTGTGTGTGTGGGCCTGCCTGCCTGCCTTCTAGCGCCTCTCTGGAGACTGACGGCCCCTGACACCTGCCATTTGGACGCTTTTCTCTGTGAAAAATGTCATCGTCTTCAGACCCGACGTGTGTGTGTCTGAGTGAGAGAGGGATGGTGCGTCCCTCAATTTCTTTCCCTGAGGTCAAGCTTTGCAGCTGACTGAACAATGGACCCAAGCTGTTTGAGCAGCCGGGACAGAGAAACTTGTGTGTGTGTGTGTATGAATATAATTTGGGCTGATGATATGTGACATCACAGCTCCTTTTTATGCAGGACAATGAGGCCCATCTAAGTATCTTGACCTCAAACCCAGTGCAGGACAAAGAAAGTGACAGATTGAGCCATTATAATTTGAGACTATGTAGATGTGTGTGTATCCAATCCTGACTTGAAAGCCATCTAGAATGTTGTGCCCTCTATCAGGTGAAACTGGTCGATTGCTTTAAATCAATTCCACAGGTAACACTACTCGTTGGTGACTCTTGATCACTTTGGTTTCTGTGTATTTTACAGTAACAACACAGATATATTTAATAAAGCAACTTTGTTGGTAAGACAAGTCAAATCTTAGATGGTTATGTACACAGAGTATAACTTTTAATTGAGATGTATAAAGATAAAACACTACATAGATTTTGTAAACCAAGATCTGCAAGCAATACGTTAGTTGCACCTCATTTGTGAATATCTGCAACTTTTTAATCAGAACGATGTATTTTGAGAAAGATGATCTAATGGTAAAAAATGAATTATACCAAATATTTAGATGAACAACGTGGGTTGCTGTCAAACAAATCGAACTGGGATAATCCCAACTTCTACAAAGTCATTCACATTTTATTGCAATGCTTTCGAATTATATTACAAGAAAAAGGTTTTAGCCCTATGAATCTTTTCGGGCCACTTATTCACATATTGATTGTGTCTGTGTGCCTAAAATGCTCCAAATACAATTAATTTCCTCAAACCAAACATCCAAATTGCACTCTTTTTTGACCTACAGTGCTGTCACCCCTATAGGTGGTGTCTCCCCCCCTCCAACTTTGTGTCCTGTGTATCAAATGAGTTGATGATATTATTGCCCCTCTTCTTTTCTGACTGATCTGATGAGCTGTTTTTAATTTAGATTAAGACCGTGTCAGCCAGAAGGCTGTAATGAGGTATCAAAGTGTGTGTGTGTGTGTGTGTGTGTGTGTGTGTGTGTGTGTGTGTGTGTGTGTGTGTGTGTGTGTGTGTGTGTGTGTGTGTGTGTGTGTGTGTGTGTGTGTGTGTGTGTGTGTGTGTGTGTGTGTGTGTGTGTGTGTGTGGCCAAAGGCTGTGTGTCACAGAAGACCAGTAGGGGAACAGATAGGGGTGCCAGTTGGTGACTTTGCCCCAGGATGGGACAGGGCTAAAGGCAGGCGTGTGTGTACAATTGAAAAGAAAAAGAGTGCTAATAAATGATAACCCAGGGCCACCAAGTCATCGCTTTACACCGAGAGGCGATCTTTGACTTTGTGTCTCAGTGTGTGTGTGTGTCCACGCTTCGACCATCCATCCACTTAGGCCAGAGAGCTGTGGAGCAGACAACCTTCTGTTGGCTGCCAGGTTGATGCCCTCACTGCAGCGACAGCCATGGACGCTATGGCGATGAGGGCTCAAAGCTGTATCCATGACAGTGTTGTTACCCAGCTGCCCCAGCGGCAGCCTTAATTAAGTTAGACATACTAAGCTGGTGGCCTCCCTTTCTTTCCCCTCCATATCCTCTTGTATTCTATTCTTCTGTGTTCATAATGATATCTTTTTTACTTAAAAAAAGACTCTCTTGGTCTCCCTTTTTGTCTTTCTGTCCGTCTTTCTCAAACAAAACTGCCTTTCTTTCACTTGACCTTTATTCTTCCATTATCTCTGAATTAGGACAGAGAGGGAGGTTAGAGGTGTGTGTTCTGAAAGCCTTTATCTTAACAATCTGTATAAAGGGAGAGAGTTGCATAAGATTTGTGAAGAGTGGATATATTTGAATAAGATTCTTCATTTTATTTTCTGCGTCTTACTCAGCATATTTTAACGCATGCCTTGGTGTCCATGTGTATTTATCGATGTGCGTGAGGCAAGTGTGTGTCGGGTTAATGACCAGCTATGCCTTGACCTCCCTGAAGGTCATGTGCCAGTGCTCGTTAGCAGTGTCACCATGGCGATATGTCAGCTGTCAGCACGATGGATAAGGAGCTGACAAAAAGAACAGTGAGGCGGACGAAGGCATGAATAGAGAGGATGGAGGGGAGAGGGTAAAAGAGGGAGGGAGGACAAGTTGATTTAGATGTGAGTCCCATCAGAAGGCCTCTGCCACTCCTCATTAACAAGATACTTCTAATTGGCAAGGTTGTTGTGGCAATGTCCAGGCCTCTGGGATTGTGTGTGTGTGTGTGTGTGTGTGTGTGTGTGTGTGTGTGTGTGTGTGTGTGTGTGTGTGTGTGTGTGTGTGTGTGTGTGTGTGTGTGTGTGTGTGTGTGGGCCTCATTCTGAGTTGTGGACATCGGAGAGGTGCTGAGCCCTTCGTCATATCGGTCAGCCCTGAGGAATAAAAAGCCCCCCCCCTTACTTCCTCCAATCATCTCCCCCTCTCCACCCAGCCGAGAGAATAGAAGGTCTTAACAACATGACAGCTTCACTTGTTTGTCGGGAGCATCTACACGGGTATCAGTGGCTTTGTTGTCCCACCATTCTGTCTGTGTGGTGATGGATGATAAGCGGCCTACTTTAAACTGAATACATTAACATGAGAAATGGTATAATGTGTTGCATTGTAAACCCAATGTCGATGTGCGATCCGTTCATATTCATTAGCAAGATCTACACGTTAAAAGCTGTCAATAATACAGAAATTGCAACATGATCTGCAGCTCAACTTTTAGCTGAATTTAAGGAATCTTTGTTGCTTTATTGGATATTAATTTGAAGTATGACTAAGGGTGATTTGTTAAGCTGCATTAAAATAGTTATTATAACAAATATTTTCCTGACATGGTGAGTTATAGGCCTAGGTCTTTTGCCTTTAATTTATAAAAATTATCTGTGAGCTGGAAATAACGGTTATTGTGTTGAGAAAATTATCTTGTTATCTTTTTAAAACTACATTTGTTATTTCAAGATAATGACAATAACAATTAATATACCAAATGGAATTACACTTTTTATAACAGAAATAGTAATATGTTAAACCACGGAGGTTTAGGGCTTCCATTGATGACTAGAGACTCAATTAGATCTGATATTCAAGCAATCTGTGCACAAGGGAGTCAATGTACAAAAATCTGTTAGGCATGTTATTGGTCTATTTTCTTTTTTCAGGTCCACACAAAAAGCTATAACAGTTGATTTAATCTTGAATAATTCCAGAGTTTCAGAATTGGTCACATTATTTGGTAACATTTTTCAATCTGACCGTAGTGTTAGACTTCTGGTGAATATCAGTACACCCCGATAACCTCTAGATGGCAGTAGTGTCATACAGATTGCCAGTGCGCTGCAGCGGTCTGCTGACTCAGTGCCCTGTTCTTTAACAAACACTTCATACTGTTATTCAAGTGTCAGTCGTTTCAATGTGAGGAAGTGGTCATTCTTAAAACAATATGCAAATACTTTTTTTTTGTGTGTGAGCTCAGTACTCCTAAGTGGGTTGGGCGATCTCACTCAGTTACAGGACTCACTTATTGACATATTCTGTCTGTATTAAGTATTCATAATGTGAGACTGTTCCAAGCTTGTGGATGCAGTCAGGATTTCTTATGGTTCTTCTTCACACCTTCTGTCAATTTGAAATGAGAAAGGTGCATTAGTAAGATTGTAATTGCTGGTAATGCTAAGGCAGGCTTACTAGTGGTGATGCTGTATAGGCCATAATGTCAGTAATGATGGTCAAGCTCTGGTAAGTGAGGGACCAGTTTGAGGAGTTGTCAGCTGCATTGTGTAACGTGCAAGGCAAAGGTGATTTTCTGTAATTGCCTTTCCATTATCTCTTTCAAGCAGTAATAACTTTGTCCTCATTGCGTCCTTTTCGTTCACCCCCTAATTGGCTTCCTTTACACCTCTTTATTTTTCACCTTCACCCCCACTGGCCAACGTGCCTCTTTTCCCTGTGTCTATATATGTCTAAATATATATATATATAATTTTTCTTTTTCTCCCCAGTATAACCAGTGAGGCAGGAGCATCAATCTACAGTGTGAGTCCTGAGGCAGTGAAAGAGTTACCGGACATGGACCCCAACCTGAGGAGTGCAGGTATTTGTTTTAACCTGATGGTGATTAAACATCTAATGAACAAGTGTGATATTCTTGGCCCTGCTTTCAATGAGCCCTTGGAAAATGATTGCTGTCGGGGAAGACACTTTGTGTTGGGCCGCAATTTAGATTCATTTTAATCATTGATTAAATTGCCACTTATTTTCTTGATTAATTATTGGTTTTCTCGTGTACTGCAGTAAGTATACCAGAAGTGTTAGTGCTTAATGTGAGCTGCCTTAAATACATTTGGAATTTCCCATCAGAAAGTTGTTATTTCCACCCTTTTCCAGCAACATTGTTTCATTATAATCACATTTCTGGCACTGCTTTAGGGTCTCTTTTTTCATACTACATCATTGAAAACATAGCAGGATAAAGGGAGTTTTGGGGACCAAATGTTTCCAGCAGACTTCCTCTATAAAAGCCATAAATCAACCAAGGCTGGATTATCCCTCGCTAGTTTCCTGTGGTCAGCAGCACTGAGAGCCATATTTATACCCCTAATGAAAGCCATGAGACATCTACAGCATTGGACTGTGGATGTGTGTGAAAAGAGCGGGGACACGGCTTCAGAGTCACATGTGGCGACAGAGAGTTTGTGCCTGACTGGTTTTCCTTTGGATGGTATGTGTGATTTCACATTTGTCAGTATGAGTGGTCACATCATTTATATGGAATTATGTATTGTACATTTGTCCCATACCATCTGTTCCCGGTTGTTTTGGGACATCTAGGGACATCTAGTGGTGATAGGCAATATTTTAAAGAGGACTGTTTTTGTGTTCGGCTTATTTCTTTTCTCCCCTCCTCTGAAGTCTGAGACAGTGAGAGATTATTTGAGTGACTACAAAGTCAAGTAAATTGAGAATACAGATCACTTTTCCTGGACCGCTGTCTCTCATTCACTGCCTGTTGCATCCATCTCTTAGAAAGGATGTTTAAAACACTTTTCTTTGCACGTCACTTTCTTCCAGTTCTCCTGAGAGCTGCGTCTGAACTGGGACTTTCTCTGTTGTTGCTTTCTCCATTCCTTCCCTTCTAGAATAGTATCTCATAACTTTCTAAGTGCTGGAGAGTTATGCTCAGTCAGAGTCAGAATAGATGGAAAGAGTATTGGAGAGTTTTGGTGGTGCACTGAGCAAGGCCAGGGTTGAAACTCCATCCCTGTCTAAATATTATCTCAGGCAGCGGCCTCATACCGCAGCCAGAGGAGAGAGAGGAGAGCCATTGATTCCAGACATACTCCCTCTTTTACATCCCATCCCTCTCTTTCTCTTTGTCCCCCCGTTCCTCTTCAAAGATCATTGCTGACCGCTTGTACTTCAAACAAACACACAATGCACACATAGAAAACAGTGGCAAGCCGCTGCACAGGAAGGATGCTTCCTGTTTTTATCCATCGCGCAGTGTTTTGGCTTTTGATTGGTATAGCAGTTAGCAGAATCTTTGATGGAACGCCCACAGATGGCACTTCCTTTGTCTCACACTGGGACATGAATGTGAACAGTGATTCGGTTGTGTCATTCTCTCCCTCTCTCTGCGTCCGCCTGTGTTGAGGCTGATCTCATGTATCATGGTGTGTATGTGAGGAAGGTTGTTTGTAATTTTTCTCCTTGTTATTTAGCCCTGCCAGAATATTCATGGAAAAGACATTTGGCCTCACATGCAGCAGCACACTGAGGCCTTACAGACTCCATCGTTAAAAGTAGCTTTAGTTTAGTTGATACGCTGTGTGTGTTTATTTGTGTGCTACATTTGGCTCTGTGTGTTAGTGTGCAAGGTTCATAGCCCCAGCATCTATCAGGAAGCTAAATGACAGGTGCAAAGACTCCATTTGAAAGCCAGCTTTAATTATTATTATGGGGGGGGGAGGTGGAGGAATGACAATTAGGTTTGGCCTGCCCTCAGGCCAGCACTGTAATAGGCACACAATTTGCATATTCAGTAATTATAAATAATATGGATTTGCATATTCAATAACTGTGATTCTGAAAGCATGTTCATGAAAAACACAAACCATCTCATGAGGCACAAAATCGTGTGTGTGTGTGTGTGTGTGTGTGTGTGTGTGTGTGTGTGTGTGTGTGTGTGTGTGTGTGTGTGTGTGTGTGTGTGTTGACAGTGTCTATAGGAAGACGCGTCCAAGATCCAATGGCTGAGCTCGTGAAGATTGATCCGAAACACATCGGCATCGGAACATACCAGGTGAGTGTTGTATTTGTTTCTGCTGATATGTTCCCTGCTCCTGCGGGCTTCTTGTCCGGTCAGTGGAACATCTGCTGCGAGTTAGACTGAAGCAAAGGGCCGAGTAGACGTGTGTGTGTGTGCTGACGTAGGTGTAAAAGCACATTACTGTAAACCATGATTATACACACATGTATTTTGTATAATAGCACCGAATGCTATAGGGACCACTTTGTTGTTTAATCGCAGATAAACAACAAAGTGTGTCTTTTGATATTTTTTCTTTGAATCGTTATCTGTTTGGCCAGTATTGCCTCTGTCTGCTGACAATGTGCCTATTTGCATTCATGCCGTGTTTAGGTTTGACTCTATTATTTTATTCAAAACAAGGAAGCAATATTGTTGACTTGAGGCATGAAGGCATTGGAATGAGGGTTTGAGAGATGAGAGGTAAGCAGGGAAAAATATCAACTTGGCTGAGGCCTGTGTCAACACATGATGCCGAGGGTGACCGCTAATTCAATTAAAGGAGATCAGGCATGACGTGAGCTTGAACATTTGTTTTTTCTGGTGCGCCTGCTGTTCCTTGCCCTTATGTGCTCAAGTGTGTGTGCAGATGCAACAACAGTTACTTTATTACAAGTGTGTTTGTAATTGTGTGAGACAGGGAAGACAAGCATTAGGTCATACTTTTTACACCAGCTATTAATGCAGTATTGTTCTCCAAATGTGGAAAGTTGTGAGGGGAAAAATGTGAGGATGGACATGCACAAAACTAAACTGATTGAGGAAGACAAAGGCAAGAATAAGGTACAATTGGCAGCCCATAGTGAGTACACTATCTTTTAAGAAAAGGGCAGAAGCATCATTATGAGATCAGAGGAGAGAGTTTCTTGAATAGTCTTTTCACGGCTCTATAAAACTGTAGGGCTACGAACAAATATAAATTTCATGAATGATGAATCTGTTATTTTTTGTAAACTCATTTAGTTGATTAATGATTTTTTTGTTGAAGATTGGTTAATTGTTGCCAATTGATGTTTCTTGTATGAACAATTAATTACATTTAAAAGTGAATTAAACAATTATTGACTAATTTAGTCGGCCCTATGGAAGTGTGCAGTCAATCAGGATTACTTTAATGATGCTTCTGTATTTATACTTTCCTCACTGTCAACATGTGGCTGATAAACTCTACTTATTTGTAGCATTGATTTCACTTTAATGGAAGAATCCAAGAGAAGAAGAGAAAGAAAGAGGGTCAAAGGACAGCAGAGGGTGACAAAAGTCAAAAGACAAGGAGTGATGGGGAAGTTGAGGTGGGGGGGGGGGAAATGGATATTTGAAAGAGAAAGGAAGAGGTCATATTGTGCTTGTGCTGAGGCATGCTTGGCTGAGTGTGTCGGGTCACGGGCCCGTGTCTCTCATCACGTCCTGACTCGGGCTCTCTGGGGTTCCCCGGGTTCTGCACCTCCCGCTCTCAGATCATGTGACTAGGTCAACAAATGATAATATAACCGGGTAAATAAACTCTGGGTGCTGACAGATATGAGATGGGACATCACTTTGACCGGCTCACACACACACACACACACACACACACACACACACACACACACACACACACACACACACACACACACTATCCTTCCCATCCTTTTTTCTGACTTTAAGGGCTAAGTGTGTGCGCGCATGTGTGTGTGTAGATTCATATCAGTGTATTGTGGATGTATATGTGGGAGAACGAGTGTGAGAGAAAGTGCACTCATGCATATGTGAGGATTTCTTGCTGGTTCTTTTGTGCGATTCGTGGTATTTTGAGCTTTCTGAGAGTTTATTGTCATTAGACCCAGGAAGCATACGGGCAGATGTAACTCTAGACAGCTGGCACAGCATGCTCTCTCTCTCTCCCTCCCTCTGCTGACCCACTGACTGACAGCTCTGAGAGAAAGGAGGAAATGAGCTGAGGGCTAAAAAAGTGAGGCCCATTAAAATCAGATTGAACGTAACTATTGGTGTGGGAACATTGTTTTCACTACAGCACCTCTGGCTGGATACTGAGTTTGCCAGGTACACGTCTGGTTGAATGCCAGCGTTTTTGTAGTATTTGTGGCTAGCTTCAGTACAATTCATTTAAACTTCTTCTAATGTATTTGCGCTTCATTGTTATACACTTTCACGGACAACCATTTCAGGAGTCGTGTGTCCTTTCAGAAATAAAAAAGACACTTAGTGGGCGTGGCCTTTGCGCAGATCTCCATCTGTCAATCAGCTCTTTACTGTATGTTGCCATGGTCTGTTGACAGCTGGGTAATCCCCAGGGCTGTGAAACTAACTGCTACTGGAAAATACACACACAGACACACACTGCTGTGTAAGAAAATATTGCCCGCAAGCCGGATATTAAAGAAACTGTCACTCTTCCCCCTCACCTCTTTCAACCGTTCTCCTTCTCTCACAGATAGAGTTTTCCCACTCCTGCCCGATGTCCTCCCTTCCTCAGACTCGCTGTCGTGATATGTTTTCTTCTCTTTCTCTTATGTGGTACAACATGTATAGTGGACATACACTGAGGGCATACAGGAGCATCAGATGTGGCACCAAATCACTCAATGTTTAAACCAGAGCAAACCACTTTCACCTAGAACTAGTGAACATGATGTAACTTCACTATTACATTAAGGTGTGCAGCAGTGCAAGTGTGTGTGTGTGCGCTTGAGTATGTTGTCTTTTACCGCTCTCCCTCTTGAATGGCAGTGCCTTCAGGGGAGGCAGGAGCAGACAGGGCTGCGAGACGGAAGAAGAGACAGAATATGGAGAGTTGACAGTGATTGAACGTTTCTGCCTCCGTGTTTCCCGGCATGGGAAAAAACTAAACTGGCTCCTAAACATTTGATCAGTGGCAGAAAGAAATATCTAATACTATTTAAACTATGGTCTGTCACAGCATGCATCTGTGTGTTTGGTTGTGAGATGAGTCAAGCTTGTTTTTTAAAGATATGATAGACATTTATCGTAAGCAGGAAAAATGATGTGGTTTTGTGTGATTAAAGATAATGAGCTGAAAGTAGCTGACCCCGGCTTCAACTATTGGGAATGTTTCTCCGTACCTGTCTTTAAACGTCTCTTGTTTCTATTTTCTCATGCCTTGTTTTCAGTCCCTCAGGTAATGTGTGATTGTTTTGCAGGAAGTTGAGAAATAGCCATTAGGCATTCATGAAAGGTGTTGGAAAAACATGAAACCATCTCCTTGCTGTCATATCACTTTCAGCGGCTGATTTACGACCTGTATTTAGCTCTGCACATATTCACACATGCACACACAGACAAGCCTACGCTGGGAATAGTATGCAGTTTGTTACAGAGGGAGTTCCTACAGGCCTTTATAGAAGCTGTCAGTCAAGAAGCGCATGACCTTCAGATAACCTCTGGCACCTTGTTAGTTTACGCATAGTCAATTGATTATGGAAGAGTGATAGATGTGAAGTAGCAGTTTTTTAAAGAATTGTCTTATTCACACACATTTGGTGAAAGTGCCAAACGCTGGAGTCTATTTGTAACTTCTGGAAGTCCCAAAAAATGTAGGATGTTTCCAAAAACAAGCATGCGATTGAAGCTTTTATTCTTTCCTCTTTCATTAAAGCTGCTACATCTACGGCAAATATATGAAGCTACTTGAGGACAATTCCCTCTGGGGTCTTGCTTCTTTATTTTTGGTCGCCCCATCATCTTCATTTCATTCATTTGTGTGACTCTTTACCATTATCACAGGCAGTGTTTCCCCTAGGATGGAGTCATAGTAGCGGGCCCAGCTAAATGTGAGCGTGGAGCGCGTGGAATTTTTGTGTGCAAAGTGCGCCCCGCCAATATGTTTCTATGTGTCTGCCAGCACAAGAAAGGCTCTTGAGGCCTACATACATACATACATACATACATCCATACATACATACATACATACATACATACATACATACATACATACATACATACATACATACATCCATACATACATACATACATACATACATACATACATACATACATCCATACATCCATACATCCATACATCCATACATACATATACGTACATACATACATACATACATACATACATCCATACATCCATACATCCATACATCCATACATACATACATACATACATACATCCATACATCCATACATCCATACATACATACATACATACATCCATACATCCATACATACATCCATCCATACATCCATACATCCATACATCCATACATCCATACATACATACGTACATACATACATACATACATACATCCATACATCCATACATCCATACATACATACATACATACATACATACGTACATACAGTGGCGATGTCTCAAGTCATTGCCACTGTATGCCTCAAAAGGTGTATTTTGCAAAATCTTGAAGATTTAGCAAAATACACCTTTAGTAACACAAATACTACAAATCCACATAACAAACAATCAAAAATAAAATGTATGTAATTTAATTATTTTAACCCGCTTTATTTGGGGGTGGACCTCACATCCTGGAAGATTTTTTTTTAAATCTTGAAGTTAAATGCATCAACCTGGAGCACAACATGAATGTATGGATGCAGCTCTCAACACGCAGATGAAAGGGAGCTGTATACTTTTCAATAATCCAAACATCTTTAGAATATGATCACAACCAATAACAAATCATTTAAACTTGTTTATTCTTATCTTATGTTACCTAGTTCGCATTCTTTCTTTTTATTTATGCATATTTTACTAATCACTCCCCTTTTAAACTTTTTTTTTTTTTACTGTCCTATAGTACACATTGGAATGATTTCTTACTTTATTTTTCCTAGCATAGATAACGGTGTGCTCTCCCTAGTCTCTCTCTCTCTACTCCCTCCCTCCTCCCTCCGCGGGCACCATGTTGGGCTACCCCTGCTTTAGGATGGAAATAAGGGAGCACCACTCCCCACGCCCTCTGAGAGATATATGGTAAGAAAGGACAACAATGTTGCTCTAGGAG